GACTGGAACGAAGGGAAAGGACAGGTCAAGGAGGGGCCAGCGGGGGCAGGGGGTCGAAAATGTACCCAAAAAGCGCATGTCTGTAAATTTTTGGGATGCAGGGAGGAGGATTAGGTGGTGGGTACTTAGTTTAAGTCTCAAGACGCCAGAGGCCTGTGGCCCGCGGATTATTAGCGTTATGCTGACCTGGTCCAAGCTGTTTCCTGACCTCAGAAACCATCTCGCTTCCCGGCACGCGGAAGTTGTCGCTTCTGGGCTTGGCAGTCCTCCTGCGTGCCAACGAGGCATGTGCAATCTTGAATTGAGCGATTCTGAGACATTCGCACTCAGTCACCGTGCATGTGATTCACTTGCTGTGAGCCTGCAGGCCACGATCCGCTTGCAACATGATGATCCATTGGAGGGTCCAGCAGATGAGACACCTTTTACATATGCACTGATGCTGCAGCAATTTGCACCTTCGTCTTGACTCAGTGCCCCAGAGCCTTTTGTTGAAACCGAACATTGACGGGTCTATGACTGCACTTCCCCAAAGTCGTACATCACCAACGCGAAGCAAAGCCTGCATGTTCATTTTCAGCCGTGCTCGCATGAGGACTCGGCTGCTTGAATGTAAGGATTTGGTCCGCAAGATGCTAAACAGGATCGAGGAGCAGAGGCTCCATGATCGATTGGAGGAGGTCATGATGCAGCCGCATACAGAAGGACTTCTCTTCACACCGCAGGCTGCTCGTGAGATGCCTTTGCCATGACTTAACACCAAGTGCACCTGTTTCCGTCGTCCGATGCTTGGCACCTTTGCAGTGCTTGGTACGAGAGCACTTGCAGGCCAACAGCGAGCAGATCCCGTCTCAAATCTTCGAAGTCCTGCCCTCTCAAAATGTGGTTCGGCTGCTGACGCGGAGTCCCGGCATTTTGACCAGGCAGGCCTCAATCTGCTCTATGGGCATGCGTCCTTGGCCAAGAACCAGATTCGCAGCAGTGTGAGCATCCATGAGGTGCCTGCAGACGGGGAACGACACCCTCCTGGAGAACATGCGCAGCAAGATATGCCGCCTGTGTGCATGCTTTTTTCCTTTGTCGGTGTCAGAAAGACATGCAGCCTTGGCACTCTGCGGACACATCAGCTCAAGTGCTGCAACACAGCGCTTGATAACTGCTTGCCGGTTGTTTAGACCTTAACCCTCGAATTATCGGCAATTTCTGCCCGATTCTCTTCATGCGAATACCAGAAAGAGGGACAAGGACTGGTCAATTCTCGGCCCTGCATTGTTTCTTTGGCTGACTTCGTCATGACCGCTGCGCAGAACAAGAGTGTTTTGATGTGATTTGCTAGTGTCGCACTACATTTACAAAAGTTAACATCGGCGGCCGGGTTGTCGTGACCATCACCATCCTTGGCACCACCACCCACGGTTCGTACAGGGTGACATGGGCATCTGCACCGTTTGCACCAGCCCATGATACTCTCCTTGTCACTGCTGGTCAAATTTCCTGAGCTCCTGAGTCTCGTACGATTAGACTTTTGGACATCAGCAGACAACAGCCTTGGCAGCGACGACATCACACTGCATTCAACCAGTTATATTCGCAGAAGCTGCGCGGGCCTAGGCGGGTCTCGTGCCTGATGGAGATGACGATGGTGATGCTGGTGATGATGATGCTGACGCGGAAGATAGGAGTGTGACGGCTGTGTTTTCATCACTCTCACCATCGCCATTATCAATGATGGTCTGTACCTGTGTCATAACAAGGGTCATTCCAAGCTGCTAGTGACCGTACCACCTCGGATTACCGTCAAGACTGCACAGTTTGAGGCACCGAAGCAAAGCGCAACCCGCATTGGCCCGAGTGGCGCTTTGGCAGCGAGGCACTGGGCGGGGCGACATTTGCAGCACCGCGGTCAAAGTTTCCGTCAATTAAAGCACAGAGCCCTGACATGGCCATGAGCCCTCTGAGCTGTCTTTGGCTGAGAAAATGTCGGGATCTTGCGATTCCAGCAGCGGGTAGTGTCTGAGTCCCTGAGGAGTGGGGTGTCCTGCACATTTTGGCAGCAATGGGAATGCCGGATATGATTCGCGAGCTCCTCCTTGAGTTGCCACCAGATTCACAGCAATCCTACGTCAATGCCAAGGACCACATCCTCGGTTGACCCGTAGTCAAGTTGAATCGTAGGTATAAAAGGGAGAGAGACTTCGCCTGAGGTCGAGGTTTCATGAGCAGGCTTATGCTGTTCTTGCACGCGAGGATAAGAACAAGAACACTCCGCTGCACCATGTCTTGTATTTTGTGGGCTGCATTGTTGTCAGCGGGAGCAGTGAGCCGGTGTTCCATGGCTGTTACTTCCCCAAGAACGTCGACGGCCGCTTGAGCTACTGCATGGAAGGCAGGGATGGCACCTGCGACCACTTCATTCGTCTCGCCAGCGACAACGAAGAACTACAATGGCGTTTCGAAGACAACTCGGACAACTGGTTTTGGCCCTTCATCACCAAGGGAAAACAAAGCCCTGATGAGGTGCCCACAGACAAGTCCTGGAAGGAATGCGAATCCTCAGGGGATCTACCTGCCCTAATCTACAAGGATGTGGAAGACAGGATGCACGTCAACGTCGTGCGAGAGCTGTTGCAGTTCAAAGCAGACATTCTGCAGCAGAACTCCCGGAAAAGGACACCTCTGCTGTCGCCTCAGTCGGTAATCTCTGGCAGCACCGCGCAAGTGTCCGAAACATTTCAAAAGAGAAGAAGAGAGAGAGCCAGCCGAGACCCCTGCAAGGCACGTCTGCCTTCACCGCCGAGTCTCCAGGGCATCCCGGGAGAAGTTGCCGAAGCTGGCCCTGAATCTCGGCGGAACAGGAGCAGAGTCCTCCTTTCTTTGGCAAGGGCGGCAAAGGTTGGCAGGTGGGTTGCAAGCGGAAATCATTCGAGGAATCTACTTGGCATCCATGACGGCCTGATGCTGCCCGGCTTGAGTTTTCAAGATGTCTTTTCGGGTGCACAGCACACGGGGCACACGTCTTTCCGGGACAGCGTGAACAAGGACGGAAGGTAGCTTTCAATTCACACTAGGAAAAGGTTCCCCGCTAGGTCAAGCGCGCACTAAGGGGCCTGGGCAAATTGGAAGAGGGGTTTAGACTGGACTGAGGCCTTCCATGCCCCGGTTGCAAACGCTTTTGGCAGAGCTGAGGGCGGCTTGGCTTTAAATTGGGAGTGGAGCGACATGGAGCAACGTTGCTTACGGCCCCGCCCATCCCGGCAGCAGACCAGGAGGCAGATGGCTTGAACGTCCTGGAACTATCAGTCGCAAACATTTGGGGCGATGACGTCTCTCGACGACAAGTCTTTCCGACATCACCATTCCGCACGCAATGCGGCAAGGGCCAGGGCCCCAGCAGTCCAAGCACAGTCACAGCAGCCCAGGTTTGGAAGCATTGGCTTCCGACCTTTCTGGCGGCGGGCTCAGCGTGCCGTGTGAAAGCGTGGTACTGGTAGGATGTTCAAACGATGCCAAGCAATGCAGCTGATGTGTCACCATGGAACCTCAGGCCATGCCGGGGCTGCTGGTCTCACACGAAGCCTTCAGCGCTTTGGCAGCGTGCAGAGATGATTAGGTTTCTTTGAGCGTTCGGAGCAGCTACTGACACAGCACTGCACCTTTTCTGCCACCTTTTCTGCAAGAAAAACCGCGAAGCATAGCAAGCGAACTGATTTCTTGTGGTGGAGCGGTACTTGTTGGCGAAGCTCTTTGCGGAGTTGTCGATGGCGTCGAGAAGTTTAGGCCAGACCGTCTTCGCTTTGGGGGTGTTGTCTGTAAGTTCAAGATGGACCACAGCTGGCTGTTTGCCGGCCCTTTCTTGGGGTTGTAGCCGGGTTTGGTGAAAGCAGTTCGTCAACCGAAGCCAAAAGATACCGGTCAGCATCGCTGTTGGATCGTGCTCCGTCGCTCTATTTCGATGTCGATGTCAGCTGGCAAGGTGGGCCCCTCTCCTCCGTGCAGGACTTTGCAAGCTTCCATTCCACCTGATGTTTGAGATTGCCAAGCGTCGACAAGTTGCCAGGACGACGTTCGATTGCCTCGGGTGAGGCGGGCCCAGTCTGTTCCGCGACTGGTGGCACGACTTGCAGACGATGAGTGCCTTGACCGGATCAGAGTGGGCCCGTGTGGGTTCCAACATGTTCCAACTGTCCAATGGACGGGCTTCGCTTGCAAAGGAGCTTGCCGCGCGACGTGGAAATTAGCATGGCCGAGATGGGGCTCGGAAGCTGTTTGTTGTGCTGCACCTTGGCTGTTGCTCTTCCGAAGTTCTTCCGTGCCGACTCCTTTCTCTGGGGGGACGGCTCAGGCCTGGCGCACCAGCGCAAGACCGATCTTCCTGGTTCCCGAGCCGTCTTTGGAATCTTCGCCTTTGCTCTCCTTGCAGATGCCAAACGATGGCCGATTGGAGGTGGATTTCATCGAAGTGTCAGCGAGCGAGGGCAACACCCGAGGGAACAGCATCAACGTGCTTGTCGGCTTGTACGCGCTCGGTGAGCCAACCTTGAAGCTGAACGGCGTGCTTGGCTCCTACCTGAAGCCTCCCTACCGGAAGCAGCTCATCACTCCTCACTACTGGGATTTCGGGAGACTCGTAGAGAAGAGAGCTAGCAAGACTCATCTTTCTGCATAGTCATCAGAAGCACGTGGGCACAGCAAAGCTCTGATTGACCCTGAAGGAGCTGGGACCAGAGTTCTTGGATTCGATCCGTGGGCTTCCCAAGTGGATCCAGGCAGTCAGGAAAGTACTATTACGAAATCTTTCTGAAGGAAGATCCTGACGAAACGCTCTCTGTTGGAGTTGCACTGGAAAGCTATGCACCGCGGCATGATGATGACACAATTGACCGAAACGAGGGTGTGTGGCTCGTGAATGGAAGTAAAGTTTGGTTTGCGAATGCTGAAGAAAAGAAAGACCAGTGGCAGACTCAGTGGCGAGCCGGCAAGTCCTGTGCGTCTCAGATGCTTGGCTCCTAGAGTATGTTTTCGATCGGGAACAGGTGCCTCACCAGGGGTGAAGGCTTGAGGCTTGAGCTGCAGAGGCAGAAGCGAGTGTTTTCTTCTTTGGCAGAATCGTCTGAGGTGGATATCGATGCAAAATCCATGCACATAGCCATCGATGGCAGTGGGGAAGCTCAAGCTTACAGGTTTGACCCCAAAGGCAAGGCAATCTACCCCATCGTTGTCGCACAGACAGCTTTCAGAAGCTTGGCTTAGACCCCCAGACTTCGCGACATTACGATGGGCTGATGCAGTCTTTAGCATGGACCAGCTTGCCTCAGGGTTCGCGATTCGCAAGCGCGACCTCAGTTTCTACGAATTGTTTCGAGACTACGAGCCTTGGCTCCCTGCGGATCAAATCCTCAACCCGCAGCGAGGCTGCGCATTGGTCAGGGGTGAGGGGGGGTTGAAGGGAAGTGAAGGGGAATCGACATGTCGCGTGGTCATACTGAGGGACCAGAAGCGGGTTGTGCGCTTCAGCAACGTTCCTGTGGATGCGGAGAGCAGCGCTGACTTGGAGCTCAAGCTCAGCACCAGTCTTCTGACCTCCAGATAGTCGATTTGCCTTGCCCTTGTGTGCCTGTGAGGGCCATCCCGACTCGGGGAACTGATCGTCTCGTGCCGAGTCGGGTTACTCTTAAGGCGTGGACTCCGGCACCTTCTTTGCCAGCACAACGCTCGCGACGGCCTTTCGATGCTTGGCGGAAGCCCTGAGGCCCTAAGAAGTCCTAAGTCTCCTTTCCGAGAGTGGCCGAGCGCAGAGCGCAGGGCAATTTTGACACCAAGGCCTGGGCTGCTCATGGGACATTGTGGAGATCCTTCAGCAGCAGGGCTGCCGTCCATCTCTCTCCTCTTTGCTGGCAGCATTTCGCTACACAAATGCAGGGACTAAGGCGGGATGAGCCTAGTGACTCTGGGACCAGAAGCTTGGCAAACAACCTCCAAGATTCAGGACAGGTCTGTCAAATCGGGATGTTAGGCACAGCATTGCGACCCCTCATTCGTGGTCAGCGGGTGGGATGCGACAGGCTCATGCAGGCCTTGAGTTTGTGATGTCCAGGCGCAGTCGATGGGATGCTGTGAACATGGCTCTTTGCACGATTGTTTGCAGGTAGAGACGGTAGGAAATGGAAGAAATGCCTGCATTGGTAGAACCCACCACTCATCTCTGGTTGCGCGTCAAGGCAATGCACCTTCCTCATCTCAAAAAAACATTCGAACCCCCAGCCTCCTGTTCGTCGCAAAATCGTTGCGTTGATTAAGAGTCGGGCCGGTTAGAAGCCGAAGCGATCTCTGAGCAGGGCCTGCTCTTGCACAGCGACCTCGCACAGCAGCCGCAATATGCAAAGCTCCTTCGCCAGACTGGGACTGGCCGGGAGGACCGGCTCTGGACTTCGGGAGCTGACTTTGGCGGAGAGGACTCGAGTGACGCTAATCAGGACTTGCAGCCCTGGGTGTTCGGCTCCTTCTTGAGATACTTGCAGAACAGTGCGCCTCTTAGACCTCGAGCCTTCACAGAGCAGAGTTTATGACCACTGTGAGCCGAGATGAGCTGACCAGCGAAGACATCGCGATCGTGTGCCAAAGGCCGACAAAATCCGACAGACCGTTGGCAACCGTTGGCAGATTCGCAGATCTCCCTTTCATCCCAGGTTTGCCGACTGTGGAGCTCCGATCCAGGCGATGTACGTGGACTACATCCACGCAAGAGATGTTGCCTGCCTATGGCCTATGTAGGCGGATGGCCTCGGTCGAGGTTTTAGAGATTAGATATGTGTAAGAGCATTGAGCAATTGCCTCTACATGCTAGTGCTGCCATGCGCTCGAAGGTCAATGTCCGCGCAAAGGGCATGGTGCATCGGCTGGATGGGTGCTACGTGCGGCAAGACAACTCCGTCGGCTCCGGAGAAAGGCAATCCGACATCTGAATCTGACTTCTCCTACTTGTAAAACACCGGCCTCTGACTCACTGACCGCACTCTTCGGCCATGTCTTGAGTGCCGACTGTGCAGGCAAATCTTCAAGAATCTGTGTCACACGGACCAGTGGATGATGTACGACCCGTTCGAAAACCTTTGGAAAGTTGGTCTTACTCAGAAGACAGTAGAGGGTGGCTGGCCTGCGGAGTGGCACGCGGAAACGCCGAACCTGGAAGATGGGAAGCTGAAGGTGGTCGCTCGGCTTGGAGATTTCTCTGGCCATTTCGGTATGAGAAGCCTTGGACCGGTGCCTGTCCTCAGAAGAGTTCTGCCTCAGAGACTTGACACGATCAGGTTGTTGATGGTAAAGACGTGGAGGATCAGAAAGACCCGGATGCGACCCCTGAGAGGGACCTCTCGAACTCGAACTCGAAAACACAAAGGCCGCAGATGCAAGAGTTCTTGCTGGAAGGACATGTTCTGCTCCACAGAAAGGAAGTTTAAATGATGTCTTGCTGCACGGACGCATGTCCAGGTTAGCGAAAACCTCGCGAAAATCAGATGAGTCTGCGTCTGCGCTAAGATACTTTGAAGGGAGCTGCTAAGCTGCATGAAGCGGTTGGAAACTCAAGAGTGGCGCAGCATGCGACCGGGCTCGGACCCAGAATATTTGGCGGACTGCTTCACCGACTTGGCCGACCTGCTTAACATCTCGGAGCCTCACAGGAACATATTCCGGAGCGAGCTGCAGGAGCAAGGAGGCATGCCGAATGTCGTTCGGATAGCCAGGTTACACCCCAATTTGTGAAACAACACTAGGAAACACACATGAGAGCACAATTTTGTACGGAAATGCACGGACTCTTGGCGGGCAAACGAGTCTCACTCGGAAATAATGCGTGGACTGTGCCGGTAGCACGATCATTTGGAGGCGAAACACGGCTCGCTGTCAAGGTATGCACGGTGCTGTGGCCGGAATCCGATTTTGGGAGGCGGAAATGCACAGGACTGTGCAAGGGATGTGCAACGCTAATTTGTGTGGGGGGCCCAAACAAATGAGAGTGTGGTGAAGAATGTGATACCATTGGGCGGCGCTGAAAAAGCGAATTAACGTGCACTGCAGAAAAGCCGAAATCCATCTGGTAATTTCGGGAGCCCTGCTTCCTAAGACAAATTCAGGCCGCAAAAGCTTTCCATGTCTTTCCCGCACGACAATCACGAAACTCAAGCATTTACAAAGAGTTCGCCTCTGTGGCAAGAATACGATTTCAGTCGAAATATGCACTGTGCCACAGCGGGAGTTGCTGGACTGCAGAGTGCCTTAGGCTCGGGGTCATAGCACAGCGGCACAGCTCTAGGGAAGTGTGTTGGAAACATCTTTCTCCTAACAGGCAGTTTACAAGACCGTGATGGTGCGGCGCTTACTCTGCACAGTGCCATCGAGACGGCTGTGAAGGAAGTCGGAGAGGCCTGGAATTGCTTCGCAAAAATTAGCTAGCAACTAGAGTGTAGCTATGCAAGGGGGTATGCTGCGTGTAGGAGACGAGCCAGCAGCTGCTGCAGCTGCGGGATGCCACCGGCATGCGAGACTTAGCAGAGCTGTCTCTCGGGCTGGTGCGGATGTGAAGCGCAGAGACTCAGTGAAGCAAGTGCTTACAAGGCCAAAGCTCTCAATCGTTTTCTTTGACTCCTCAGCATTCTGCGCAGCACGCCACTATTGGCCCTACCCGACAACAGTTCAGCATTCCCTGAACATCGCGCCTGGTGCCTCAAGGATGTCTTGGAGAGATGGATGCTGATAGCGGGCTGCAAGGAAGCGATCCTTAAGCTTCTGTGCATATTTATTTCCAGACCAGAAGCATCCCTTGGGCCACTGGCCGGCTGCAGTGTCGTTTCATAGTCAGAAGATGATACAACCTCAGAATTGGCACGGGTACTGGAATTGGTTGCTTCAACGCCTAATGGGATCTTCTGATGCATAAGAAAATAATGTCCATAGTCTGCACTCTTTGAAGATGTGCATATCGCTGCGGAGATATTGCAGAATGCAAATCCTCCCAGAAAACGTCGAAACTCGGCAGCTGTTAATTCAGCAGCGCCGCTCGCACCTTGAGGCAACAACTTCGAGGTCGGACTCTTGGTTCCATGGGTTGACCTGTACAGTACCCACCATTCTGGCCCCATGTCGTGAGCACAGCATTTGCATAGGCTTGCGGTTTATCGGAATAGGTCGAACTTGACTTGGGGAGCCACAAAATGATTTAACGGAATCGCCAGATGCTGCCAAGCCGCGGCTAACAAAATGTTGGCAGCTGCCTGCATGCGCTGGTGACAAGCGAGGCTTCAAAGAAACGACCGAAAAGGAAGCTTCGCAGGCTTTCTCGCGTTCTCTGGGAGACCGAGTCTGACAGTTCCTGATCTCATCTTGGGCTTTTGCAGGCGAAAGCCAGGAGGAACATCTGCACGAGTTCCAGGAATCAAAACACCCCGAAATCATCAAACCAGCAGCAACCCTTCAACAAGTCCCGCGGTAGTAAGGCCTTTCAAAAGCCATGCCGGCCCGTTCTGGGTCTGCAGCAACATCGGACGGGTGAATGACATTGTAACTGCCGGCTCTTGGACAGCGCACGTGGACACAAAGACAAACAAAAGCAGATAGACACACATGTGGGTATCTGTAAACGTAACTCATGTTCGTAATTCATGTGGGGAGATGCATGTATACAAATATAACATAATGAATATATCATTTTGCTCACATGTGTATGTATGTAACATGTACGTTGTATGTATGTAGGTAGGTAGGTAGAGCTGTAGTTATGAAGGCATGTAGGGGTGTGTGTGTGTGTGTGTGCGCGTGCGTGCGTGCATGTGGGCGTATACATGTATATATGTATGTTGGTGTGTATTTGCATGTATGTATGTAGGAAACTATCGGTCATGACAGTTTAATATTTGAGCAACACTTGGGCTGTAGAGCCATGGCTGGTCGAAGGGTGTGAAGCTCAGATGATGAAGTGAATGTCGAGGAACAGGCCGCTTGCATGTTGCGCTGTGCCAGTGCGTGTTGTTGTCGTCGTCGTCGCAGTCATTACGTGCTCGAGGTCGATATCCTCGGCCGGCGGCTGACACTGCTTCTGTTGCTCCCAACCTTGCTGTGCGTCCGAGACCCGGCTTGTGCCGTGCCCTGCTCATGGCACTGCTCACTTTCGCCAGGCTTCACCAGACCATGTGGGGGAGCCGTGTCTTCAGGCGGTGCAGCAGTTGAAGCATGTAAACTTATATATGTAAACCATGCACTAAGCGACTGTGGTTTTTAGCCATTCCCAGTCGATGACACCTTCTCGGAGGGCTGATGCCTGCTCATGCAAGTCGAAGACAGCTGTTCATTGTTCGACCAGCAATGGTGCGGAGCTTCGACATCAGTGAGCGACGCATCGCTTGGCACATAGACCAAGCTGTGAGGCCTGGTTGGAGGGTGTATGGTCGACCATATCGCTCCCACAAGCAAGAGCCGAGAGGCCACAATCACATCAACATGAAAGAGCATTTGCAGTCCAAGTCCTGCAGAAGCAAGAACCATTCTAGGAGAAGGTTGGTTGTGGGCAGACGCACGGCACCGTGGCGGAAACATAGGGGACTGTCGAAGGAGTCACACATCACAGCACTGTGCTCCCGGCTGCGACTGGGCCGAGGCGGACGACGCGAGGCGTTTACAACTTACAACTACAAGTAGCTTCTTCCCCGGTGAAGAAGCAGGATGGCAGTCCTGCTTCTTCGACTCAACTTGACTCAACAGGGTCCTAAGGTTCCGGGGCCAAGACTGAAATATGTCAAATGCTTCAGGTTCATGACATGGACATGATTTCAAAAACATTGAATTCGTATTGCACCTTTCCTTACTCCTTGCTGTGTAATTACGTCGGGTTGAATGCTATCCATGGCCGTGATTTGAAGCGCTTGATTGCAGCCCGCAGCACCTGTTCTGACCTGTTACCTGTTGTGGGAATCTTGACGAAAGTGCCCACAGCCTCCTCGGGGCTCGTTGTGTTCTGCACATCCCGAGCAAGTGGCACCCACGCGTAGAGGGGTTAGGGCACGGCGTTCGGGGGATTGAGGGGGTAGGTCGTGTCAGCTTCAGGTGGTGGCTTAAGGGGAGGGGATTGTTTCTGGGCCAGGAGGGAACTTCTGACCGCTTGGGCTGGGGCCGAGGCGAATTTGAACCATTTCACCGCAACCATGAGTCCCGAGCTACGATCGCTATGCACTCAGGGTTGCCCCGAACACATGACTGATGAGAACCTCAAAGCCAGGGCTTCGCGACGAGTCATGCAATATTGCATTTACTTAGGCGGGGCAACATGCCCTAGTCACGACTTTGACCTAATTCTCACGTTTGCCTGTAGTGTTGTCGCCGAAAAAAAAGGTCAGAAGCTCGCTGGTCTAGCGATTCGGTCGACGTGGTCCCGTTGTTGGGCCAGGTATTATTTGGAGTATCTCAAGCCGACTCAAGCCGTGTTTGTTTCTTTTGAAGTCCGGTTTGCTCACGCCACGCATCTTTGCCAGTTGGACCTTACAACGGTGTGGTGTCCGAGAAATGTTGTCAATTAATGAGACCGCTTGGCCGTGTCATACGGTTCGCGACAAGAATAAGAACTAGGAATGTTCAGAATGCCAGAATTCTGTCATGGCAGGCATGTGGAAATTTCACGGGCTGGTGTGCCTGGTGCGGTGCAGGAAAAGTGCCCAGCCCAGCCGAGCGAGGCATCCCGCAGATTAATTCAGAAAGCACGAAATAAGGCCTGCTGCAGACCAGGCTACGGCCCCGAGGAGAGCTCAGAAAGCGCTCACGAAGTGAAACCCCGCTGAAGCTGTGAGGAGTGCTCAACTGCGCCACCTAATGCTGGTTCGGAGAGTCACCAGTGCATCGTGCCCTCCAAGCAGGCAGGCCATCTCCAAGTAGAGACTGGACAGGGTCGCCGGGGATAGCCAGGAATCGAGGAAGCTTTAGAGCAGCGAAGCGAAGTCAAAAGGTCAACTTAATCAATAAATCAATACCCATGAGCTGCATTTAGTGTTAGCTGCCTTTGGCGCCAGGCCCTCGAATCCCTTGCAGTCGCCTCGATCTGAGTTGCCTTCATCCAGCCTCAGAGAGAGTCTCTGGCAGTGTGGCTGACGACGGGTGTGGAAGATTGTGGAGCCGATAAGAACTGTCACGTCGGATATGAAGCGGCACGCTGTCCAGCGTCCGCGCAGGCCATCCAGAACGATGTGAAAATGTCGCAACGTAGTAGCTTCCATACAAGGGGCTGTACCGGCAGAGTCGAAGAGCCAGTCAATCCTACACTGTGCCTCACGGCACTCTCGCGTGGTCGATGATTTAAGCTTGGAGCTTGCACCTGCAGAGGTCTCTTTCACATTTGATCTACAGGGACTCTTCTATGCTGCCGTGCAAGCGCACTTCCTGCAAGTTTGCTTGCTCGGTTTCTACACTCCCAATGCTCCTGGAGTCCACATGCCCTCATTCGTTACTTGCCAGGAAAGACTCTCTGAAGCAGGACCTGATCCTGCGGAGCAAGGCGCTATCTGGCAAAGCAGAGGGTGTTCATTCAGAGGGTCACGCATGGGACCATTCCGGCCCAACTCCTGAAGGAACTCATCACTCTACTAAGATTTCGTATCCTTTCCTAAACCTTTATGACTTTATGACTTATGATGCAGGCATATGCATGCATGGCTTCTGTTGTCCCGTTCTCGTCCCGAACCTGCACAGGAGATCGCCAACAAGATCATGTTGAATACTTCACAGCCGCATCAGATGGCGATGGCTTTCAGCAGAGGCCTCCCTGGCGGGTCCAGGTAGAGGTCACAACATGTCTGCCAGACTTGCTGGTTCGCGAGGTTCAAGAGGCTTTGCACGGGTGCAGATGACCATAATGGAGCCTTGGCTGACTTGCACCAAGACCTTCACCTCCCATTATCGCCGCACTTGCTTGAGACATGCAAGCAGCCGACGTTCATGTGACAGTCATGTGGCCGGCATGTGACGCTTGCCAGATTCCTCATGGCGGTGAAGCCGTCGTGTCCTTCGCAGAGAACAGGCTGCTGCGGCGAAAGAGTTTGAAGTGCTGGGATGCATAGGCCCAGTGAATGTGTGGAACCCAAGGCTGTGCAGCATGCCGTCCGTAGCCAAATTCAATGCAGATGTGAGGAGCTTAGGCTCTGCCGAGGCATCGCGTGTGCCGTGTCCCACATCCCTATGCTCAAAAGGCTCAAAACCTCGATGGCGTTAAATTTGGTGAGGAAGGTGGCACCGTGGAAATCATGCCACTTGGCGTCGTTACGGATCGGCTTGCAGAACGCCTCAAATTTTGTCGCAGCTAACCTCTCGAAGTTCGAAGGATCACGAATCGCAAAGTAGATGACGGCAAAGACTGTCCGACTGTCAGATCCCAAGGGACCCCAGGTTTTAAAGGAGGCCATGTCAAGCCCACGACCCAGGATCCTGCCTCTATGTCCTTGCGGCGGCGGCACATGCAGGGACAGGCACAGGCAGGGCACCTGCACCTTGACCCAGCCACAAGCCGGGTACTTCCTCCTGTTAGGTGTGGCTGCCGTGGCTGGCGACTGGCCTCTTTGGAGGTAGCGCAGACAGCTTGTCAAGCTGTTTGTGACTAGAACAGGGGAGAAGGTTGTTTGTCATGCAATGGCGAACTATGCCGCGAACATAACTACAGCTGAGCAGCTGACGGTTTTGTTGCCATGCCGGCCTGTCCCGCCAAATCGGGTGCTGCAGTCCTCCGCGACCCTTGACAAGGCAGTTTCACATCTGTCCGGTGCCGCGTCATAAATCTGCGTTCTTGGTGCTTCCTCCCTTTGGGCCACTACGGATGCAACCTCGACACTAGTTCTGGCTGCAGTTGAGATTTGAACCGATCGTGCTGTCTGTAGTAAACTTGTAGCACGAAATCATACAGAGCACAAGAACAACACTCCACGAAGGTCTGGTAGAACGTGTTGGACAAGCTATTCCGGCCTTGCAGCTGTTTTATGCAAGTGCAAGTATGTCTGCGGTTTGAAACCTTGGGTTTTAGTCTTAATAGTCGTTGGAGCCAGATCTCAGTTGCTCAAGACTTACCAGATGTAGGCCGCATCTTTCCAAGGGTAACAGCAACAGACAAACCAAGCGAAGAAGCCAATCATAGGAAGAAGCTGCTTTTGGACATGTGCCAGAGCATGCTCTGCCCTTCTGCGTAGGCGGTGCTGGTCTTGCGACATGCGACGCAATCGCAAGCACGCCTGAGCTGTTAAGCCCATCTCTCTCCATCGTTCGAGCGCAGCCAATCATTGTCGGATGTTTCCGGCGGTAAGCGCCGCAGCTTTTCTCCTAAATGCATTGCCGCTGCCAGGATCATGCCTGACATGTGCGCTGTTGAGTTCAGGCCTTATAGACTAGACTCGGCTTCAGCTAGCATTTCGAGCAGACATGGTGCACATTGGCCGAGGCCTCTGCAATGATCACTGCAAGCAGAAGCCCGTGCGCGTGCAGGACTCAGGATGCCGCGGGTTCGCCTGTCCGGACGCCTCACCTTGCTCCTTGTGCAGGGCAGCGCTCGCCGACACCCAGCCGAAGGCGCTGAGAAATGCGAAAGTGCAGACCTCTTGGAGAATGTGGACTGTAAGAGGCACTCCTCGGGTATGACAACTGCAGGCCCTATTCACTGTATACACCCTCAGTCGGCACAAAGATCTAAGTAATCACGAGTTGAGCCTCCTAGTTGGACATTGAAACTGTCGCATCCGGTTTTCGCCCACAGAAAACTGGGTCAGCAGTCAAACAGATCATGATCGAATCATTCTGTGGCCAATGTCATTAGGCTCAGTGGCACATTGCAGCCTAGCAAGCAAGGAAGTCAACAGGGCTTTTCAATGGACAAGTCGTTCAAGCATGTTTCATCTAGCTGTTGATGATTCATTTGCGTTGCAGTGCGATTGCCCTCTGCGGGGTGTAGGGATAGGAAGCCAGAATGCGCTTGAAGTTTGCGGGATGTCTGCGCGTGATTGTCTACGTGGTTCTCTTCTGGTGGCTCTTCCCAAATTTCACTGCGCTTCGTGTGTCTCACTGGCCTTGGGAGCTGACGTTGCGATATGGAGGCGGTTTCTTGATGGTCCTGGCAGCTCGCTTTGCAGGAGGAGGGCGCATGGGTCTGCAAAAAGAGCTTCTGGGTGTGTGGGCTGATGCCTTGTCCATCGTTCGAACTGCAGGGGTCGTATACGACCAGCCTTGGAGGCGTTCTTTTGAACAGATTGTCATCAGGATTCGTTTGATGAGACACTATGCCACCTACGGGCCGTTCGGCATCGTCACATTTGGCATGCTTTACAATCCGCTTGTCGTGTCGATCTTAGTTGTCGGGGAGCCCATCCGCCATGTGACCTTAAACCTCTCACTGACCACTCCATGTCCCATGTCTGTGAATCTGGAGGTGTAAGCTTACTGGCAGTAGCATGCTTCAACACAGGTCAGCAGTGTCAAGCCTCACCGCTGGGACCTGCATATTTTAACACCAGTTTCAGGCCCTGACGCGGTTCAGCGAGGTTTGATTAGTGTGACAGTGCGCCTGGCCACTCGGCCCGAGGATTTGTAAGTACGCATTCGGCATTCCTCTGGCTTTTTCTCACTCTCTTCGGCATTGCATCTGCAGATTTCTCAGGTTGGCGCTGACCTTTGGAGCTTTTTCGCTGGGCGGAGAGATGATTTCCAGCCACCGCTCACTTCGGCAGAGTTGCTGACCGTTCTTGTGCACGAGGTCGTCCTTTGCATGCTCGTGTTTTCCATAGGATTGGGACAGATGGCATTTACGAATAGCGTGGTTCATCGATACTTTTCTCACAATTGCTTTCGGACATCCCGCCTGTGGAACTTTGTGCTGGGAAGTTTTGTTTGCACAAGTGGAATGACGCCAATCACCTGGGCCGCCGTTCACCGACGTCATCATCGATTCTGCGACCAGGAGGGTGATCCGCATTCGCCATACCAGAAAGGCTTCCTTTATGCGGCTATGTACTGGCTTGCAGACAGAGAGAACTTCGAGATCCGATCTGCATTTGTAACGGATTGGTTGGCCACGGCTCCTGAGTTGCTATTTCTCGAGCTGTACGGTGATCGTGCAGGAGGCCTCCTGAATAAGGGCATGTTGAACGTCCTGTTTGCTGGTCTCAGTCCCATATGGTTGTCCGCATCTCCTGTGGGCAGCCATCCCTTCGCATTGGCATACACCTTGGGGCGCATGGTGGGCGTTAATCTGGTATATGCATTCAATGGCATTGGACATGGAATGCAAGCCCCCGAGCCCAGAAGCGACATCAAAGATGGGTCGTCTCCATGCAGGGCCATTCGGCTATCCTGGTATTGGTGGATCGTAGGAAGTGAAATCTACCATGACGAGCATCATGATTGTCCAGCTTACGCTGTCTACGGACCATGGTACCAGGACTGTTCTTATTGCATATATGCTGCCATGGCGAAGTGTGGCCTAGTGTGGGCAGTGAAAACCCCATGGTCACACCACATTGCATAGTTGGAACAAGGCCGACAGCCCAAGGAACTTTCGCTCACGGCAGCGCCACAGCTTAAAATGTCACGATTTTGTGCTTCGGCCCTCAAACTCAATGGGTTAAGACTGGTGGTCGGCCCGGGCCCAAAACTGACGGATGCCGAAAGCAACATAATTAGGGTCATATAGGCAGGATCGGGTTTAGGGTTTGGGAGCTGATCTAGCGGCACAGCATCGTGAGACGAGGATAGTTAATACGTGCTGAGACAACATTCATCGGCGTGAGGTGTCGAATGAGGGCTCAAGCAAGCCTCAAGGGTTACGACTTCGGACGATCTCTGAGCTGCCAGGCAAAGCGCAAGTGCCTCGGCTGCACATGTTTGGTCTGTCTGTGATTTGCAGCGGCGGGTGTTGCTCTCTAGAATCTGTTGCCGGGATTGCCGGGCAAGTATCGCATCCACATTTCGTAGGATTTCTGGGCGCGGGAGACGGGAAGCAAGCCTGTGATGTTGTAAAGCCCGAATGGTTGGCCACATCAGCGGGTCACATCCGTGGTTTGCAGACCACATCTTTTCGAGTCCATCTAGATAAAGCCCAGCCAAGCGCTCGGACCACTGCTTCATGGCAGGTCTCTTGGAAGGATTCGTTTCAGGAGGAGGTCTGGTTGCGTAGCCCACACAAATTTGTGCGACCTGGGACTTTCGTCATGTTGGGCTGTGGTGTTCTTCGCTTGTCAGGGGACCTTCATGCCTCTGAGGGGTTTCATGGCCCCGCAGGCAGGAGCGACAAAACAGGGTCTCTACTGTACGTCGGTTGGAATTCGACGACCGCAGCTTCTCGAAGCGCCAGGAATCCAGTGCCTTTTCCTCTTCTTTAGGCCGGATTTTGGATTTTCCGCGTCATGGTGCCGGCTGCAGCTAAGAGCAATTCCTTTCGCAGGGAGCGCCCAGTTCTCCTCCGGGACTTACCAGCAGGGATCAGCAGCTTTCCCAGCGACGGCTTGCTCTTGCGAGCGACTCCTGTGACTCCTGGGTCTTAGGTCGCGAGCTGGCCAACGGCAACTTACAAATAGTGCAGCGGCCAGGTGTGCCTGCAAAGCCAGGTTCGTTTAGCGGAAAAGCGGGTGAAGGTCGAAGGAGAGAGAAGAGTGTCCCGGGGGGCGTTTGTTTAGCGTTGCTCGCAGCTGGAGCGCTCGAGGGCGGCCGTGCTTGCACCGCAGCGCGAGCAAAGCTCTGAGGATGTCACGGCCGTGGACTGTCCAATGTTTGAGCCACACGGTGTAGCACAGCTGGACACAAGAAATCCAATGTTTGAATTCTTGCGAATCTCACGTAGCAAGTCTTAGGCTACTGGCTCAACATTGTCTTTGTCATTGCAGCTGAGCACCATTCATATTTCATGCTCATATTCATATAGTCATTCATGCATGGGCGCTCGACAGATGACCTGGAGTCTGCTGACTCTCAACAGTCTCAGCATGAGACACAGCCGCAGCCACCAGAGAAGTGCTGAGTTTGTAATCGTGCGCCCGAACAGAATCCAGGTCCTTCGCACAGGTGGAGTCGTCGGGGCCGTCCTTTGTAGATGCAGGCGGGATGTTTTCGACTCTGCGGAAGCCTTTAGTCAGGCTCTTTCCGGCTCGGCCACGCGGCCTCCGCTCTCCAGGCGAGTCCCACTGCGACTCCGTGCTCGCCGAGAGCCGCAGCGGTTCCGTCATTGACAGGACCGACAGGACTGTGCCAACCCCGTGCGAAAACACCCTCCCTCAACTCTTGGTTTCTTCGATGAGGACAGAGGAGGAGTCCACTACTGGGACGCAGGTGCCTTGCGCGCGGGGGACGTCTCAAGAGGAGAAGCACGAAGGCCCGTAGCCCGGCAGACTTTCTGTGGAGTCTTGGAGAAGTTGTCCCAAGCGGCTTTGGCCGCAGGCCGCTCCGATTCAGTGCCCTCGCCGTCACACTTGCCGCCGTCGCCGCGGCTTCCGCCCTCGATTGAGAAGGACGGCCGAATTGCCCTTCCTCTTCTACCAACGCAAAGCTCCCAGGAGATCAACGAGCTTCTGGAAAAACACGGTGCCGCCGACATCTCATCGCAAGACAGCACGGAGCAGCCGCTGAGCAATGAGGTGCAACATCTCAACAGTCCGTGCGACAGGATAGGGACTGGCACAAAAACTTCTGTGAAAATAAAGGCGTGATGGTGCGGATCAGTACAGTCATGCAAACAAGTAACTTTTGCATGTGCGCATGCAATCTCGAAGCTAAGCGACTTTTCATGACGGTGAGCTGTGAACCTCCTGCCCCTTTCTAGTGTCGCGCAGGCAAGCAGACGATAAGTGAAGGGTTATGGCGAACCGCCCTGAGCAGTAAGCAAAATCATTCCAAAAGCCTACGCAAATCTACAGAAACGCTTTAAGGCGGACTAGTCCAAGCCCTTGTCGCGCTGACAATGAGACCGGCAATCCCACAACAGCAAGCGCAACTCTTGCACTGTCTACATCCGATCTCGTTGCTTGAGTGGTCTGCAGGTGCACACGTCGCAGCGCATGCCTTTTGCCGCACCGAAGCGACCCGACATGGTGTTGGGGCCCCGGCAGAAACTGCCAAGAGCAGAGCTTGGGGTTGTCTTTGAAGACTTGCACTGAGGTATTTCCTCACACTGCAGGAGCAGCGCCTCGCGCTGGCGGCTCTGGCAGCTTCTGAGGAGCAGCTTGAGCGTGAGCCAACAGCGAGTCCCAGACCATCCAGACGGCCACGGGGGGAGCCACGTTACGAGCTGCCACCCGGCCTCAAAGCAGCTGCCGCAAGCGCCACTAGTGTGCGCACTTCTCTGCGTGTTGGAGATCTTCCCAAACCGAGGGATGCGCACTGCTGCCTTCAAGAAGCCAGAGTTGCCTCGGAGGTGTGCGGGGAAACGGGTTGTCCATATGTGTCATGGTCATAGACGTCGTTCAGAGCGAGAAGCATCCCTCTCTCTCTCTCTCTCTCTCTCTCTCTCTTGCTCTCGCTCTCTGTGGTCTGAATTCTGAATCTTCTTTGCAGACGCTTTGTCTGGCTTGGCACTCGCACTGGCCGGAAAGTTTTAGGCTTCAGCCAATGCTCCATAATTTTGGGGTGGACGCCAAACATGCATTGCACCGGCTGCATCTTTTGAAATTTCAAGTCCCTCAGCGCACGCGAGACTGCCGGCAACTCTTGAAGTCAAATGCGTGGTGCTATTTTCATACTGATCCTTTCCTATGCACCTGGGCATCTGGACTCTCCAGTCCGAATTCCCTGCCCTCTCACTGAGAGTGCACCGCGGCAGGTGGCCTGGCAGTTCCAGAATGGGGGAAGCACCCCATCATGGACGCAGACTGGACGAGCTGAATCCTTGGCCTCAAACTCGTTTCGAGATCGGGCATCACCTGTATTCGTGCAAGCCGAGGAGTCGAAACCTGGGCGCAACGTGCGTTGGCCTCAATGTTGACACCAGGAGATGATGCAGGTTGTTACATGGGCGACGCGGCTCAGCTTGCGCATCGAAAGAACCAGACTTTCGGAGTATTCTGGAATCGCGAGCACGGTGGGATGGCATCGAGTCTTCTCAAGGTGCGAGAGCCTTGGATGCCACGAACCCAACGTGGGGATGTCAAAGAGCTTGGGGCCAGCAGCATGTGCGAAAGAGGTGTTTCTCTGCACGAACATGCATGCATGCGCACGCGCGTTTGTGGGTGTGTGTTTGCGAGTGCTTTTTTTATGACTTCTGTTCACTTCGTGCGCGAGACTGCTCTACAACTGACGACTGGACTCTCAGTTCAAACGCATCCACACATCACAATGCCGTTCGTGCCGATAACAGCGGCCGAAAACTCGGCACAGGTCCCACACCCACACCATCCGACACCTCTGACCTCGCCTCATCTCTCCTCGCTGAGGCCCAGTGTACCTCCCCTGCAGTGGCACGAGGTCGGAGACGGGACTTTGCACATGGACAGAGCACATCTCTCGCATCCCAAACGCGTTGCAAAGGCTCGCTCTTGGAGCCCATTGAGAGGTCTGAAGACACCTGGAGGCCCCTTTTTTCAGGGGGAGATTTTGGGGTTTCGCCTGGCTCGCCTCCCAGGCACGGCCTCGACGTGGATGGGCTCGGAGCCACCGGGCACAGCCGGGACCGCCTCGAGCGCTGCCAGTGCCTCTGAGGAGGCGCGACCAGTGCGGAGAGAAAGGAACGATTTTACACGACTCTGACAAAAATTTCTTGAGATCTTGGAACGGTGTGAGGGGTGTCTGGAGTTGAGTTGAAGGGGGGGGGTTCAGAGGAAGGGCCGCAAGAAGATGCCAGGCGGCCGTGTCACCCCGTCGGGGTGTCAGCAAGAAAGGCGCCTTGCGCGGCAATCGGGGCAGTGAAGGGCCGCCCTGGGCGATTCTGAGGCTCTGCTCGGCCTCGCTCGGGAGTTCGGCCAGTTCTCATCTTCCCCATCAAAAAGGCCCGCGGCGCGGCAAAAAGAGCGCGCGAGGTGGCAAAAAAGTCTTTTGTTAGAGTTGCCGCTCTCACGCGGTGCCTTGAAAAGGACCGGGACGCCCCGGAGCTGCGGCTGCAAGCTGCGGGATGCCTAGAAAGACAAAGCACATGTAAGTATCCGGGTGATAGCATCTATAATGGCATACAGCAGCGCGACGCTGAGGCCTTCACGCGACAGAGAAGAACGAACTCGCCCAAGCAAGGTCGGGGCATTGTCGCAGGTTCCAATGTCGCAGCACCCCCCCAAAACCCAGAAACCGGCCGCCAAGGGGAAGTCGCCTGACTGGCAATTGGACCAAACCCCAATACGCGCCGAAAGTCCCGCAATCCTCAATCCCAAAGTCTCCATGTCGGGTAGCGGCGTCACTCACATCATTTCCCTTATCATACCAAGTAGACACAATCAGAGCAACCAGGATCGTCGGCTAATGCAGCTACAAGAAGCATGGAATCGCCACATTGCGTTGTGATGTTTCTTCTTTTCTTATTAATGCCCTGCTGGAACCCTGCAGATTAGCATTTTTTCCCGCCACACACACCCACACACACGGACACAAGTGGCAGGCATATGCCGGCCGTGTTCGCCGCTGCACACCCCCAAAACCCCCAAAGAGGAAGCCGCCTGACTGGCAGTTGGAATACATCCACACCAATGGCAGGCCTTTCCCAGCTCAGCTATCTTCCAAACCCACACATGTAGCAAGCATGCCCGTATTCGGCGTGGCAAGCCTACTGGACCCATATTTCCTACAACTCTGCTGGGCGACAAATGCCAGGTCCTTGTTAACCGCTACTGTATGGTTCTTTGCTCAAACTTTGCTCAGCTGCTTCTTCTCTTGCTTGTGACTCCGAACTTTTGAGCTAGTTGTGTCGCCAGCTGCATGCCCCTCAAAGGCCGTGCTGGCCGAAGAGTTCGATGGCTGCCTCCGCTGCGCCAACTCTCAGCACCCCAGTCCAGCACCTTGGCCTGAGCCATGGTGGGCCCAATCGGCACACCGCGCGCCACCGCTCCATGCGCTTCTTTGGAGGCGTGCTGCCAGAACTGCGCCGTGGAACTCGGCAAACTGACGAGGTCCGGGCCCGAGCGCGTCCCGGCACCGGGGTCCCCTGCGGGCAGGTGTCCACAAAGAGGAGAGAATGGAAGTGGTCCAACTGTCCAACTCTTGCAGTCGCTTGAGGCTGATGCGTGAGGCTCTGCCTCTCGTTTCACTTTCAGAACACGCGTGACCAACTCAGTGTCGCAGCTTTTCCAGCAAAGGGGATCAACATGGTCCTCGGCTCAAAATAGTCTTTCCAGTCAGAAGGTGCTGGCAATGAAGGCATGAACGCGATTTCATTGGTCATGGACGCCTGAAGTATACCAGCACACAGGTCATCTCATGTCGTCAGTACCGGGTTGAATCGGGTGCAGCTTCACGGACATACGCACACCGCAGGGGGTACCTGTTTTTCATGCTTGCAACTCCAAAGCAAGGTTCAAGGCTGACCTTTACTGGACATCCAGCGTAAAACGCTGTCCTTGGCAAGTCCCTGCGGAGCACGAAGCTCGAAGCCAACAGAGACTCAAAATCCATGCCAGCGTTGCCTGCCGTCATTGCAACAAACATTGCGTTCAGAGGCATAGACAAAACCATTTCGATCGACATCAAGCTTCTGTCTGCACTCACGACTTCGGCTGTGAGCGTGCGCATGCGCTCAACTAGGGGGTCCTGCTCTGTTCCGGAAACTGTGTGTCAGGGCTTGGCTGTCCCGTCTGTGATGAATCCATGAAGTGTGAAACCCATGGCATGGAGTTCATTGCAGCACCGCTCTTCCTTGCTACGGCGTTCATGGCAGACACACACACACACACATAGACACACACACACACACAGGGAGACACAGACACACATACGCACACATTCAAGAGAGCTGATGGTCGACCCCTGTTGCCGATTCATGATCAAGTTTTCGTGGTGATGGTGGCGGGGATGGGCCAAAGATCAATGCATGATGACCCGCAGTGGTTCGCATATGGCGACTCAACTGCTGTTCCAAAGGAAGTACTTGTAGACTTTGGGTCGGGCAGCACGCAGAACAGTTGCGGTGCTCAATACAATTTTACAAAGCTCATAGAAATTCGGTCAAGAAACTCAGGTTGTAGTAGTTCTTCATAGCAAGATAGATACGACTATCACAGGTGAACTCTATAGATTTGATTAGCTGGCAGTGGCTAGCAAATGGCTGGCCTTCCAGCCGGCTGTGAAATCCTTGGGGTGTGAACCTCAGACAGGTCCCTCACTCTCTCTCTCTCTCTCTCTTTTTTCTCGCTCTCGCTCGCTCTTTCTCTCTCACTCTGTGTCGCCGGTGGGCCGAGGCCGTAAAAATCAAGGATGGGTTGAAGCCTCAGCTGAGCAGCTGGCATCACGAAAATCTTGTTTTGAGCGCGTGCATTTGTGCCAGGCTCTTCGTCGGTGATGAACTCGCAGCTCAAGATTTGGAGCTTCGAGCTCAGGACTGAACACTGGAAGGCTTCAATCAGTCTTTATTTGCCTTCCGAGGTTTGTTGTTGCCAACAAGGTGACACGAGTCATCAACTGCGCTGGGCGACAGGCTCCGGTAGTGCAACAAGACTTTTCATGCACCATTTCGTCCATGGATGCAAAGTGTCTTGTCACAGGTCCCGAACCATTGGGAAAGCATCGGTGTAGCGTATCTGACCTATTACTGGATAGCACGGCCCTTAGAGCATCGGGATCGGGGCCAGTTAGTGATTCCAGTGATGCCATTGCAGGCAAAGGCGGTCTACTTGAATGCAAAACGGTTTGCATCTCACGCAGGATGCCGACAGCCAAGTCATTCTCGATCAACGTGCGAGACCCAGTAAAACACGTTTCACATCCAACTCCGCCTGCACCACAAGTGCTGGCACCATTAAGTGAATGTTGTAGACTCACAGAGCTCAGAGCCGGAAGATGGTTTTGAATCGCAGACAGCCACAGGAGAGCAGTGATTGAGGCACAAACTTGATGATTTGGCCTAACCGCGTGATCGACGTCACGGCACCGGCGATGTGCATGTCCAAGTAGCCACCTTGAACCTACCTGGCACGAAGCAGAATTGTGCATCCGGGTGCCTGTGTTCGGCTGATTCGACATTTTTACACCCCAGCATATCAAGACTGCTGTTATCTGCTGTTGCTCCAACCACCTGCTGCATGAAGTTGCCGTCGCTATACGGGACGATGCGCAAGTTTGGTGCACTTTTTTTCACCAAAAAACCCTCGAGCTTGGGTTCACCTTTAGATTTTCCAACCGCGTGGGCCGCGATACGGGTTGCCACTTCAGAGTCAGAAGTGGGTAGAGATTTAGTCATGTAGTCTTCGTGACAAGAAAGTCCTTTTCATCTCTGGAACATGCAAAGCACTGCACATGACACCCTGACGCTGACTTACCTCTCAGACGAGTCGGCGCCGAGGCTCTCGCTTCTCTGCATACATGTTGTGCAGCGCAGCCCATGGCTAAAGCCGGTTGCTTTGTTATGCAGGAGACGGCGAGCCTTTGCATTCTTGGTGCGTAGGCGTAAACATCTCCCGGCAACCTGCAGTCATGCCTGTGCCGCATGATGCCAAAGCGAACGATGCTGCATCAGAGCTGTTCCCTGTTTTGAACAGCTCGAGCTGCCTCCTCTGCAGCACCACGTACCATGCACACACACGCGCACACGCACACACACACACACACCCACCCGCGAGCGATGTTCCGTCCGCAGCGAGCTTGCTACGTCCCTTCCTGCTTTGCAGGCCGCCACTTTGCCTAGAGGCCAGTGCTCGACAAGCCGTCGGTGCTCGCGACAAGCCAGATTTCTCACTCCAGACTCCGGAGCTTCTCTTTCCCTTGCTGCCCGTCATTTCGCCCAACCCGTAACCGTCTCCTGCCTTCACGGTCGCCTCAGCACCCATGTGGGAGACAGCCGCTCACACAGTCGCAACCCGCCGCTCGCGGGCAGCCCACCTGAAGCAGAACCGGAGGAACAACTGGCAGAGGCCGTGCAGCGGGTACCGGCAGCGATGCCGACGGTAGACACCGTTTGTGGGCCGTCAGCAAGGGCAAGGGCAAGGGACGCCACCGTCGTGATGAGCAGAAGCTTCAGTCAACAACTATTGTGAGCCCGGTACGTTTCTTGCAGAGTTTCTGAACTTTCTTGGCAGCAGCAACCCTGCCCTGCTGTCTGCCGGAATTGTCTGCACATCCTGTGCTGGTCGCTGCAAAGACAGAGTGCTGCACGCAGCACTTCTGCGTTCAAGCTGTGCGAACGGACCCGACCCCCCCACGCCACGCAAGGCGCAGCATCTTCGCTGGCATGCAGGTTGACTAGCGAAGCCAGCCACCCATAAATGGCAGGGCCGGCGTCAGCAACCGGCACAGCACACATCACTGCTCGGGACGAACAGTGGAAGCACGATACGTTGTCAAGCCTTTGATCCGTTGCTGCTCTCTGCATTGCTGGAAGAGCGGCGCGGAAGTGGGAAAACCAGCCCGCTCGCGCACCTGAAACAAGCCATCACTCAGCAGATGTGCGAGAACCGCCCGACACCCATGGAGGCTTTGCGACGCCTGGCGGCAACCGTGCGCACAGCTGGCCAAGTTTTGCACTCCGTCGCCATCCGTTCAATGGGGGCACTCGTGGTCTTGTTGTGGGTTCCGGCTTTTTGTCACCCAGACGCTGGCGGAACAGTTCGAGGAACCCGCCCGACAACGCTTGCCGCTCTCGTCAGCATGCATTGTCCACGACTGCATTTGCAAGCCTGCGCTGAGCATGACAGCCGGCTCACTATCACTGTGGTGTTGACGTCTCGGCCGCCACTACGACACCGTCAGTCGCTATGCGATGCTTGAAAGAAGCCCTTCGGGATACGTCAAATCTGTCTCATCCTGCCATGTGCACAGATGTGGTATGCTACGCCTCGGCTTGCTCTTGAGTCGGGCCCCCACAGCCACCGCATCCCCCAGGTGACCCGCTGATGCTTGCCGTGTTTGACTTCTAACTCGTCACTAGTCTTATCCAAGGACGAACAGCGTTCGCCTACTTGGATGACGTTTACATACTCGCCTTGCGGAGGGCACGGCATGGCACGGCCCAGCGCTGCTTGGTCGCTCTTGGCGTGCCCATCGGCACCGCAGTTTATCCATTCTCAACAGTCCTCGCGTATGGCCGCCCGCTCGGCGCAGCGCCGCGCCGCGGCCTGCAGTTGCATCTGCAACGATATCCGGGCCGACAAGGCAAGCTTGGCTCCTACTAGTAGCAGGCATCACCGATGCGATCAATGCCGGAGGCCATGGGTACTCCATGGGTACCATCGAGTGGACGCCGGCAGCGGCAACATGCGGCAACGTGAGGCAAAGGAAACCGCAACCAAAGGAGCAACACCCGGAAAAGTGCAGACTCAAGGGCGAGCTCAGGCGCAGTGGGACGGACAATGAACACCCGGGCGGTGAAGGGGCCGGATTGAGAGTCCAGGAGTGCGAGCTTGCAGGACCAACACTGCGGCGATGCTCTGCAGCTGTCCGGCCGTCGAGAGCGCAAGAAGCAAGGCGCTGCCAGCCCCGGTATGGGACATCGGGGTCGGCATCGTCAGTTGCTAAGGTCCTGTCCTCATATCAGCCTCAGCAAGCGCGTCGGAAGTTTGCAACAACAGGTTTTGCGCGGATGACCACCTCTTTCTGGTGACCAGTCAACGTCCCTGCACGTGAAGGGCTGGCACCAAAAAAGTCGACTTAATGGCGCGTCCAGCACGCGGAGGACGATCAACATACCTTAACCGCATCAACCCAGGCCCAGGACGCCCAGAACACTGCTGTCGCGTGCGGTGCAGCACTTCGAAAGCCGAAATCACCATCCAGAAAAGCAAGTTGTGCGACGCGCAGGCGGGCAACAGAGGGGAAGACCCTTCAGCAAACGATCACGTGCTCAGGGCTGTGAGCACACGGGCATCGTGTGTAAACGCAAGATCCTGCTAAGAGAGGTGCGAGGGTGCGAGCTGGGCATGAGAGGGGTTGCCATGTACAAAAGCAAAAGCCACGAGACTTGAGTGTCTCCGAGGCGAGGACATGCCGTAAGGAAACCCTCTTATGCCGGTCAGATATAGTGCCTGGCAATGAAACCTGGCTCACCGAAGGGTGTGCCGAGGAGCACAAACCCTCGCAAAGACGTGTCCAGGGCAGGGTCGCCGAACCAAGCACGGGCATCAGGCGAGAACTTAGAGAAGCCATCCGGAGACCGGCCAGCTTGGTTCCAAATGGTGGTTTTGACCACAGTGCATGTGGGTGTGATGAGCGAGGTGATGGCACCTTTGCCTTCAAGCTTCGCTCGTCAAGGAAGCATCAACTTTTGCACGGAGGGTCAATCCTCATCGGGCTCCCCTAAACCGAGCGACTGCATTTGCTCGGCATGGATTTTCAAGCAGAAACAAAAGATTGCGTCGCACTTGCACCGCTGAAAATACATTTCAAGAACATCAACCGCAGAGATTTTCCCGTTTCCGTTTAAGAGAGGAAGGTTGCAAGTGGCACAGTGCGCCGTCGGTGAAGTCTGAAAATGCTCCCCGCAAAATATTTCTGTGAGCAATCGGGATACTGCCTTGGCTGCATTCTGCGGAAGAGCAGCTGCTTCGTGCCTTGCCAGCACTTGTGACGCAAGTCAGGCGGTCGCCGCTCGGGCTTTTGGGCACCTTGGGGGACGAGGTCACACGGCACAAAATCGTCTGTGAGAAGGCCGGCTGGTTTGCACGCACCGCGCGGCAACCTGCCTTGCAAAGAGGCGACAGTAGCAGCTGCTCATACGATCCTAGGATCGCATCCGCCCGTTCTTCAGTGTTTTCGACACTGAGTTTCGCCAGCAAGCTTCGCATCATCAGGGCAGCGTCTAGGGTCAAGCGTTATTTGCGCAAGTCATTCTGCTAGCAGCCATGAGTCGGTGAAGCGAAGTTGAGCCCAGTTTCGCTGAGTACAGCCTTTAGGCGCAACGAGGACCATACTCGCTGGCAATCGCGCAGGGGACGCTCGGTCCCGTGTTAGGGCCGGCTCAGCTGCGCAGCGGCAAGCGGCTCGGCCCCACCTTTATCCGATTGCTCGCACGGGCGTTCGCTGTTGGATGTATGTAGCCGCAAGGAGTAAGTAGCGCATGGAAACGCAGAGCTTTGTTCATGCTGTACAGTGACGAATCTGCTTGAATGCGTGTTTTTTATCCTTCATGTCCTTACAGGACTGTAGTCTTCATCAGCGGACTCGGACGGGCGAAAGCGAAAGCGAAGCCTTCGCTGCCAGCTTGCTGTCTCGAGTGATATGTTCACACAGACTCGTCTGAGGTGTCGCACCTCGCCTCCCGCATAGCTTTGGCTGGGGTGTGCTAGTTGGCCTGGAGCCACATTAGCACACACGCAGGTCCGGCTCGCGAACAGGAGCCCCTCCGGCGGGATCATCGCACGCGTTGAAGGACATAGAACGGGTGAGCCTTTATAGCTGGTTTGAACAGCTGGGCCTTTAACAGAACAGGCCAACCCAACTTGAGAGCCCTGAAAATATCCCACTCGTTTTTTGCAGGATTGGAAACAAGCTGGGCAACATTTTGGGATCCAGTTACAAAGAAACTCTCAAGCACTGACGGATCT